TTTCGAATACAAAATCGAATGGATGTTCAATCGATATTTATTTTCTTTGAAGTGAAAATGGTGGTAAAAGAATGGTAACTTTAAAAAAAGGTAGGTAATGTGTAACTTAAGCGATATAATTTCTATATTTACTTGAAATGAAGGTGAGGTGGAGGGAACAAGAGCCGAGAATACTATCTCTCCGCAATTGTGGGTCTGCCTGGTTCTACCTGTTGTAAACGTTACCTGAAACATTGCGGATAACCTGGCATTAACCTACATGGCTGAAAGAGTAGTGCTTCGGAAGTAATACCGATAATTATTTAGATGTATGTATCAGCTTTCAATACGAATGGAGATTTTATGTCAAAGGAATGGAGACTAATTGTAAAAGGACAACTCAAAACATATATTTTGAGCAGCTAAATTTAAAATACTTTTTTTTTACTTTATTTGAAACATTTACCAGCAATTGAGATTTACAACAATCTATTTTTTACTTATGGCAGTAGATTTCCGACTATTTCAGCTGCTAAATAATATGTATTCATTAAACAATAAATTCTGACAAATCTTCAATTATAAAATTATGATAATATCATCTAGTCATCAATATTATATTTACGTAACATAATCAATTGAGCTGATCTGTACTGCATAAGCGAACCTATCGACTATTTAATTTCAATGTAATGTTATCCAAGTTGAATCTAACTCTTTGTAATGATTGAAGTTGAGAGTTCAAAGAAGGAAGTCTTGAGAAAGTTCTTAAAAAAAAAAAAGCTTGGGTGATTGAGGAAGTAAAAAACTACTTAGTTAAATAAATTATAATATTTTTCAATTTTATGCAATACCTTCGCCCTTTAGTTTATTGAGCTGCGACCTATAATTTTCAATCGGGTGGAGGCTATATAATTCCATTTCCTCGTCACTGAATGAAATCGGCTTTCTAAGAATAGCCCCCGCTCCCAAGAATACCTCCAGAGTTCTTATTAATTTAAGACGGTGCCTTTAAATATCGTTTAGCATGAAATGACTAAAGTCGGTGTTAAATGTCTTGGTTCTGACTCATCCTTTTCCAGGAGTGAATAAATCTTAGGCGATGTAAAATAAGAGCGGGAGGACCTTGGGGGTTGTGACTCAAATATCGAACAGGATTCTGGGAGGAGGGGGGCGGTAGGCCCAAAATGGTTCTATAATCGGGAATGGAGGCTGGATTTAGAAGGCGGTAGTCAGCTGTGTTTGACAAGTGGAATGCGGACATGTAAGTACACGGGAGATGGCAGTATGAGTCATTGAAGATTGGAAGATGAATGGTTGGTGATTGTCGGAGCGTGGCTGGGGAATGAGTCAGTATGGAGTATGGTTACGCAAGGCTCGGCCTTCCGCACATACCGAGTCTCTTGCAAAAGCAATTCCTTACTGCAAGCCTTCCATTCACCCACCTCGTAGTTCCACCATTCAATATTTCTATAATTCCATCCTCTGCTGATTCTTACTTCCAGTAATTAAAAATATAGAAAACGGAATTTAGTATTATCGTATTATACATGCGAGAAATTTTAGATGTTTTAAAATTAAGCATGACTCACATATTCGTTTAAAAATACAGGACGGTCTTAATAATCCGAACGCTTAGATTTGGAATTATCAAAAGTTAAATTAAAAATTATGGAAAATATATGTATTATCAGTTAAATATCAACACATTGTTAACAAAAAAAATAATTTTGAAAATGATCATATAATGTAAGTTAACTCTCTGAACTTGTTTTGTTACTAAAGAAAACGCATGATCTCGCAAATTCTTTAAAAGTGCCAGACTTCGGTAGTCGACGTTATATATATTCACCCACTCTCCAAGCAGGTATTAAATCCCTTTATGGTGTGTCTAACATGGAAAAGAAAATGGGTGTAAAGACATTTTCCGGTGAAATAAAAATTATAACAAACGTATTCCATGTCTACTTTTGATATTATCAAGCCAACCATTACTCACATTAAAATCTGCTGTTATCCTTCTTATCAAAATTATTAAAGAAAAACTTTGACTTTTCAGCTAATACATTATATCCCCGGAAATCGGAGTCTCTTGTGATCTCTGCAACAAAAAGCACAGAGATTCCTCTACTTTTGTATGACCGCTAAGTTATAATTTTTTCCTTCTGAAGACACCAGAATACGATTTTGGCATTGCCACACGAAGTAGTTCCAGAAATATGCAGTGAGAAACAGAGATGTTGCATTCCGCTTCTCACTCAACAACTTTATCATTTTTTCATTCTTGTTCGGATTACTAGGGATTCGGATTATCGCGACCTTCCTGCATTATCCTTATTTTGATGACATTGAATTCATCTATAAAATAGCTATAACTATAAAAATGTTTACAAATATTTGTATAACATATATTCGCAATACAAATATTTGTAAACTCCTCCGAAAAATGCATTGAAGTTACTTAAAATATGTTGTGAATACAGATACTATTTAGTTCCGTTTACATCCGAAATTAAATTACACAACTTGATAGCGTAACAAATCACAATATTTTTTGTGCTAAATTACGGCTGTGTTAGAATTGCTGCACCATTTTGAATTTGTCAAATTTTAAACTTCCTCCTAGTACAAAATCTTGATCCGTGAGGATACTGTTTTCGTTAAATTAATAGGCATGACTTGTCAAGCTTGTATAGTTTTTTAAGATTGGTTTTAATTTGTGCTTTTTATAGTCTTACAATGAATTTGAAAATCTTTATTTTTGGAAAGCAACCATTAAAAATACCTTACACCTTTATTCAAAATCTTATCAAGTGCAAGAGAATTAAAATAATATTGCTCGTCTGCTCAATTCCTCCATCAGCATATATTATTTAAAACCAAAACAGAAGAGAATTAGGTGGGGCCATTTTAATATATAGCAAATATGTTAAGAATATTCTATAGAATGTTCTTTGGCATAGATTAATATATATGGAGGATTCCCAACGAATCTTAAATAATGGTTTCTGCCATGGTCTGCATGGTCTCCTTTCCAACCCCGAGCCTCTGCAAGAAATTACTTGTAGTAGGGGAAATTGTTCTCCTTCTTCCGAATCACAGCCCTTTAACTCAGAACTTTTGTTATGAGAAGGAATTAGTCGAGGGTGCGGTCAAAAAATAAAAAAAATTAAAATATATAAATAATTTTAATTTTTGCCGACGTTTCGACCCACTTTGCAGGTCGTCTTCAGGGCTACAAAAGATACAAACATGTTGAAAAAATAAAAATAAAATAAAAAATAAATATAAGTATATATAAATTACGAAGAAGTTGTCAGATACAGAAATAAAAGATAAAGAAAATAAATACATGATAAGAAAATAGATAAAAGAAAATAAATACATGAATGTTAACGAATAAATGAATGTTAACGAATAAATTGATTGAAAATTGAACCCTCGACTAATTCCTTCTCATATCATATCAACGGTCAACCAACTCTACATCATTCAGAACTTTTGTTATTTTCATTTTGTTTTTTTAAAGTACGGTTTAACGAATTTCTTATGAATTTTCTCTTTAAGCCTGTACCTTGAAGTCCTGATGTTGGTCATTTCAGATCTAATCGTGGGATCCACTATTATTGCATCAATTTCTGCCGCATTACACGATCAAATGTCAACAAATCTTCAATAGCCTTCTTGTTTAGGCTTCGAGGAAATATCTATGAGCTCGGATAGCTTTTTTTTATATATTATTATGCCGGCAGGTTACAAGGAGAAAAGTTTTTGGACATTTCCCCCATCATGAGCTGAGATTTCAGATTCAGGATCTAATTTGCGGCAGAGGGATTCACAACATCTCCGTTGGCCTGACTTCCGGACCCTCGTATCCCATGGAGTGTAATTGAAAAATCCTAAAAACAACCCAACAAAATTAAATGATTGGTACAAACTTCAGGAAATTCGACTTAACCAAGACAAATTCCAAAACGTTATTTTCATTCTTCGACGTGTAACTTATCGTCCTATTTATCTTGATAATGCCAGAATTCCTCAAACTGATGAAGTACAATATCTTGGACTGACATTCGACGGAATGGCATGGGCCCCTTTAATAAAAAAAAAAAGAAAAAAAAAAAAAGAAGAACGTTAAACCTTAGACTATGACTATTATACCCATTTCTTCCAAGACGTTCAAAATTAAACCTAAAACAGAAACTGAACACTTACATTTATCTTCTTAAGCTTCACAGATATACAGAACAGCCAAAGCAAATCACGTATAAAAACTACAACATTTTCAGTCAAAAACATTCAGGACTAAATCCTCATAGTGTGTCACAAACATTACTTTACATAAAGATCTAAACATGCCAACTGTTAACGACCACACACGGACACAATAAAAAAGATTTTACGAAAACATCCATGGATATACTAACACACTCAAAGAAGACATGACTACGATAAAAATGCCCGGAAATACGCATAGGAGGCTCAAAAGAACCTGGCTGAAGGATCTCCTCGTTTAAAAAAGTATACTAAAATCAACATTTGAAGGGATACTGCTGGACACACCTCTCCATCACTATTACTAGTATTCTTCCCAACAGCAGACTCACTGATTGTCAGTACTTCTGACAGTTGTTTTTGAAAAAAATGATGTTTAAAAAAATTTCTTTTGAATTTTTTTCAACCTTTACCTCACTTTTTGCCACCTCATTTTATGTAACGAAATGTTGCTATCGAAATTAGTAAGGCTTATCCGTTTGAAGATTTTGCTTCCTAATTCCCTGTCTAGTGTGTATATTCTCTTTAAATGTGATATTCACATATTAAACAATTCGTTATTTGTTTATTATTTTCAATCTTTTTTTTTTTAGTCACTTTCCTACGTCCTTCGCATAGATGTTTTGTAATCTATGGGCCAAGCTGAGAACGTAGCTTATTAGTGATAGGTCGCCTTGAGAAGATTAGGAAGATGGTGAGATGATAGACAATCGGCGGAGCCTTGAGACAGACTAATCATGAGCTATTTAAGGCCCAAGATCCCTGAGGACTGTCTGCCATCTATAGGTGAGTCCACGGCCTCCACCTCTTATGTCTGCTCTCTCGGCTTCATTGGAAAGTAATTGTCGTTGTTCAGGATGGGTTAATACCTAAAGATACAGTTTAAGTCTTCTCATTACATTAAGAACTAGCTTACTCCCAGAACTCTCTCTCTCATAAGATCCTTATTCGTAAATACAATACGCTGTTACCAAGAATAGTCTATTCATCAATAGAGTTTCATAATTTACCTAGGTTGTTTACGTAACAATTTACCTAATAAGTTATTAGCTTATCCCACTGGAAAATATGGCTACAGCTTAATAGTTAAACAAACAAGGCAGATATTCCGGAATTTATTCTAATCCATAATTGTACTCGCTCAAGATCTATTTGCTTGGTGCAGAAGGGCATCGGTTTCTTGGTTTGTTGCTCTCACTTACTGAGGGTATGGAAGTATTTTAGTAAGAGTAAGACCAATGTCATACCTCAATGTCTTAAATTTACTATTTATATCAAAAAATTATTTTTGTATATTATCCGAAGGACCCAAGGGGTCATAGAGCTATTTTCTTCCAGCTGCCTTTTCAATAGATTTTATAGATAGGCCAACATAAAAAGCAATATTTTAATTTTTGCAACCTAACATATGATAGGAATCCCAACCTATAGCAATTCCAACCTAAGGTTCTTTCGGCAAGAATTATGATTTATCTCAAAACGACACATGTTAGCATGAGTTGAAACTTTAAAAAAAGTTCCATTTTTACAGTTTTTTTTTAAACCTTTAAGAAGAAATTTCCATTTTAACAGTTTCCGCAAAAAATTTTAGGATAAGAGTTCTTAAAATTTCTGAGGATTTTTTTTTTAAAATAAAGTTTCAGGTTTATTGTAAATGTTTATCTTTTATTTATTCAAATTCTTAAAAAAAAAGTTTCAATTAATGAAAAATACTGAAAGTAATTTAAATTGCTCATGGTTCTAATGCGTCGTTTGTTTGATTTGAGTAACTATGAAAAAAAGTGATTTGTTAGATTGAATTTTTAGCGAAATTAGATCATTAAAATAAACCTTCTGTAAAACCATAACATGAACAGTTGCTAGATAAAAAGTTCTAGTTCGAAAATAACTCTAAAACTATCGGTAATAATCATTCCGGTGATACGGGAACTTCTTAAAAATGAAAGTTTTTTCCGTTGCAAGATCTGCATTTTAGGGCTTTAAAACGTAGGTTTCAGTGTAGTCCTTTTCCAAACTATTCTTGGTCTTGCTGTCCAAGTCGAAATATCGTTTATTTATTCCCTTTCGATCCGTCAACTTTTGAAAACATAGGTGTTATAAAACCTCCCAATTTTTCAGTGACTTTTATTGTAGCTGTAGTGAGGTTTTACGTTTTGGAAATGGAATTCGTCACATCTCAGTGGCTTTCTCTCCCATTTTAAACCTCATTTATTAAAATTAAACGTTCATGAGAGCCGGAAAACTAATCTATACTCCCGTTTTATATACAGTGTAGTTTTGCCTTGACCAAACTGATGCATTAAACCTCAAGGAACTTGAAGGAACAATACTAACATTTTTTAGGAGTTGAGCGTGAGGAGATTAATCATGAAATTTTACCACAATTTCAATAGTTCGACCAAAATTTCTATTATTATTTTTATTTATTTATTTTATTCTTTTACGCCATTCGATACTAGGCAAATTTAATGTATTTTTTTTTTGGTTCCTTTATTCTGCTTGATAATGGCCTTGATTTGGTTATTGGTGAAGCATCAGATCTCTGGGTAATTTTCTTTAAATCTTTTTCAAGCAGGTAACCGAGAGTAGGAAATCGATAAGACTCGTGGATTGAGATGATTTTGGATCGTGTTGCTTGTGTTTTGTTTATGTTTACATCTTTTGCTGAACTCCAAAGTTCTGCAATGGATATCCAAATTGGTCCTAGTTTATTGTTATAGATTACTTGCACGTTTCGTTAGTTTGTAGTCTAGAAGATGTGATAGCTGAAATTACCGCCTTATCAATCTTGTATTTTTAATTTCGTATGTATATTCCAACTGATCTTTTTGTGTAAGCAGAATTTGAGAAACAGTACATTGCTTTTAGTAGCGTTTATGCTTATGGAACCACTTTGGATGTTAAATAAATGATTCTGAAGATCTATAGGTGTTAAAGTTGGATTTCTATCGAAATATAGTATTGCTGTAGCGAAAGAAGAAGGTGAAGATGGTTTTGCAAGGCTGCTAAGATGTTTAGGCTTAAAGCGCTACCTTGTGGTACGCCTGTGTGTTGATGGAAGGAGTGAACAAATAAAATCTAAGAAAATACATGGAAAAAATGTCTAAAGATTTAAGACTTTTAAACTAAAACGTGAGACGCTTTTATTACAAGATATTGCGATGTATTTATTTGTTTAAGAAATATTTTAATTTTTCCAACTCTTTTGGATTTGAACTTACCACTTACCTGCTACGAAACACTCAGTAAAATATTGTTTTTTTATATATATATATATACTGATACTAATGAATTATTAGTAATTTATAATTATATTTGTGCAATAATTAGTTTTAAATTTTCCCCAAGGTTCAATACTGGTCCCTCTACTTTATATTGTATACACTTATGATATACCGTTAACAATGAGACGTTGACAGCTACTTATGCAGACGACACAACAATTCTTAAAAAAACATCTTACAAAAGATCCTACATAGGCCTCACTAACTTTACAACATCACTTTCTTAAATGTGGAACTGTGGAAAATTGGACTTAATCATGTCAAATCCAAACATCTGACATTTACTCTTCGAAAAAATGCCTACCCTCCTGTTTGTATTGACAACAATCAAATTTTTCAAACGGACCAGTACTTTATCTTGTACTTACCTTCGATAGAAGAATGACATGGGGCGGCCCGCATGTAAAAATGAAACGTAAGACACTTAACAAACGACTCGAACTACTTTACTCTCTTTTTTCTAAATCATCAAAACTGAAACTGAAACAGAATCTGATTATGTATACATATTTACTTAAACCCTCATGAACATAGTCATCACAGATATACAAGGCCGACCTACAAAATCTTCAAATCTTCCAATTAAAATGATTGCGACTCTTAACAAAATAACTTCGGTACGTGACTAAAAAAACTCTACATATTGACCTCTCCCTTCAAACAGTTCACCAACATTTAACGACCCATTACCACCGATTTCATATAAATTTTTTTTTTTTTTTATTAACGAAATTTACAACTGTAATTAATAATAATACAACAAGTAAATATGAACAAGTAATATGACATCTACAACATGAGGAGAAACTACCTATTGGTAGCACTCCAATTATATTTCTATATTAGAAGGTCCCGAGGCCATCTTCTTTTTAGACGCCTCGGAGGGTTATCAGGAACAGAAGAGGAAGCAAGGTTGAAAACGAGAGGGTTCGGATGGTTCAGAAGTTTATTATGAAAGGACAGGTATCTGAATTGAGCTAAATCGGAAACATATGGTACATTAAGGTCATTATGGATGATTTTATTTGTAACAAAGTAGGGAGCATTAAGGATTTTACGAAGGATTTTGGATTGTAGGGATTGGATACGAGAGGAATTTGATTCATATAAATTTAAACTTGCCAACAGCTGACATACAGTGAATATGAGGAGATACTAAAAAGGCGTTGTATGAGCTTTCTTAAACAGCCTAAGTATATTAATTGAAACAATTCAGGGAAGAGATGCTGCTGAGTATTGCCCTTCCTCATGCCTGACATGACATTTTTTTTTATTTCAGCACATTAGCTGATTGTCAGCACATGTTAACAGGTGCAAATAAATATTTAAAGCAGAAACAAAAAGTTTAATCTTAATTTGTACAGTTTTAAATGTGCAATATCACACAATATGTTGTGTTTCCACATTTCATGGCTTTATTTTCAAATTATTATGGGGGGGGGGAGAGACAATACCTGGCCCTCCTATAAACATGCTTTTCCTTTCTTAACCATAATTATTAGTTTAGAAAAAAAAATCAATTTTCGATTGTGTAAATTAACCATTCTTCATGTTTGAGTGTTATATTTCATCCCTCTAGATCATTAAATTAAGTAGTATTTGGGAAACACGATTCAATATGGGTTTATTTTATATATAAAATCACAAAAATAAACAATTTATGTTAACAATCTTACAAATATTTAATAAATGTTTTTTTTTCTTATTTGATTCTCTTAAGTACTATTGCATTTTATTTTTTAATGTTTTATTTATAATTTAATGTTTCATGGTTATCATAACCTACAGTTTGTACGTCTTAATTTTAAAACAACCAACCACTTTTCCTCTTCGGAAAAATTACTTCTTGTTATTTTAGGTAGTAATTTAGCCCTTGGTAATTCCTATTAATAATTTATTTTTTTGAAAAAATGTCAAAATTCTTTTCTCTTCCGTCATCTTCAGGGGAGATACTATCTGATTTTAAAACATTTTGTCAATTTTTATCCCAATAATATAAAAAAAAATCTCTCAGAGGACTTATTGCTCTACTAATCTACTTAACACTAATCTATTTATATGTGGCCGTAAAAATAATTCATTTATAAATTCAATAAACGTATTAAAAAATTATAACAAACCAAAACTATATACATGAAATAGACTAAAACTAATTCCTTTTTTTTTATTTATAATTTATCTTCTGAATTTGTTTTTATTACAGTAATATTTATTAATACTTTTTTCATGTAATGGTCTTGATTTATAGCTTCAAGAGGCTAATTTTATTTTTTTAAATGTTCTTTTATTTTTTTCTCAATTTAGTAAAATGGTTGAAAAAAAAAATACCATCCTTGCTTAAAATTCTGTGATTATTCTCTTAAATCTTTCCTGTTCTGAAAAAAATATATAATAAAAATAATTCTTGAAAATATTGAAGGGGAAAAATACTTTTTTATTTATTAAATTTTATTATCATTTCTGAAATGTTTTTGATACTAGGCTTTTATAATCTAGTTTTATTTTTATTTGTTTAAAATGTTGTTAACAGTATGAAAAAAACATCCCTCCCCCCTTATGAAATCTCATAATTATTCACATAAATAAATAATCTTAATTCATTATTGAAAAAAAAATTGTCATTTAAGAAAAAAAGATTTTTTATAAATGACGACAGCCATTGTGTCGTGCGCAGTTCCATCTTGAAGATTTGGAATCCGCTTCGAGGACCTCCTGGATTCTTGCTCCTCCACTACCCTCGTGAATTCTTGTACTCCAGCTGAACATCCCAAGCGCTGCCAACCCCTGACCAGAACACATATTCTAGGTGGCCATCCAGGCTGGGCGAATCGCAGTAAATTCGCGAGAGTCAGCCATTTTGAGCGGGCGGTGCCATGGTGCCCCCACTACGCCGCATGCTCCAATCCGCACCGCGCTTCTTCCGCTCCTCTCACACCATCTCTGTTCTTTCGCTCTCTTATTAGCCTCTATTTAACCAATCAATTTCTTTATCATTGTATTCGCCATTGTCCACGGGGTTAACCATACTTAATTGAGAAAGAATAGAAGTATGCGAATTTCACAACTTAATAGTCGGAACCTAGGTTTTTATGCAATACCATTTTTGCTTGCATGCCTGTTTTTAATCTGCAGACAGTTTATCTAGGAATTTAATCGAGGGGCTTGATTTTTTTTTTTTTAAGGGGAATTACTCGTGAAGTATACAAATTTACAATATAATATTTAATTAATTTAATATAATATGTCCTAAAAGACCTATAAAAAAAAAAAAAAAAACGAAAAGAAGCATAATACTGTTAAGCAGGGGTTGAAACCTTTATGTAACTTTAGAAGAAAAAAAAACTTCCAATTTAACAGTTTCTGTGTAACATTTCAGGAAAAAAGTTCTACGAAACATTTTTGTGATAAACTTCAACGGGACTTTTTATAATAAAGCTCTAGGATTACTGTAAATATTTGATTTTTATTTATTTAAGTTCTGAAGAAAAAGGTTGAGTGAGCCATAAACAGTAATTGGGCTTAGATTAGAGTTATAATTTGTCTTAAATGAACTACAGATTAAATTTAATAAAACAATTCTCAGCTATTGTTGTATAAATCACGAATTCGAAATTTTTTATCTAGTTTATTCATATTTTTTTATAAACGAAAAAATTACACAATCGGTATTTGTTGAATTTACTTATATATATAACAATATAACATACTTTATGTTTTAAACCTGGATATTTAAAGGTTTTTATTGAATATTATGTAACTTTTTTTATGATTTCTACTACATTAAAATAGCACGTGAACTCCCGCCTTCCCAAGAAATTTTATTGCTATCCTCTTCTTAAAAACAGTCCAAGCGAAAGTATAATTAGAAAAATTTATTATTGTTCAGGTTCATGCTTATTCCCTTATTTCCCTTGTTTGAACCTTTTCACTCTGAAAATTTATAACCACGTCGAAATGTGTTCCACTCAAACATTTTGATGGTGAAACTCCCCAAATCCCCTTCTGGGCACCCCTGAATAAAAAAATTTTTAATTAAATCTATAAAAGTTGTGCCAAACGTGAAAATATTCAACCAATCTTGGCTGGAAGCAAATTCGCTCTAAATTAAATAAATCAAATCATATATAATAGTACTTTTATGTATTTAGTATAACTATATGTATTGTTTTGCAGAAAAGTTATTTATTCTGTTTAAATAGCGGTGGGGCGACCCTTTGGTCGAAATATCCTCCTAGGGCACACCCAGCCTCAATAAAGTGGGTATCCTTAATTAAATAATTGATGAAGGGAGGAAACCCTGCAAGGGATGTAGTGGCACAGTTTTTTTTTTTTAAATAGGTGTAGTACTTAGTACATGTACTTGCTTTGGCGGTACATGTACTAAAATACGAACAATTACGTTCTATGAAAACTTTTTATTATACAGTGTTTACATTATTACTGTATGTAATTTGAAATATAATTTGACTTGAAATGAAACGATAATAATACATGTGTTTATTTCTTACAAATTTTCGGTTAAAGATTTAAATAAATATGAAGTATAATAATGTATGTGATATCAAGAATGTTTCTCTATATTAACTTCCCCTTGACTCTTAAATTTTTTTTTATTATATTGGTTATTTTTTATAAGATTAGTTTATGTATGTATAAACAGTATATATATATATATATATATATATATATATATATATATATATATATATATAAGGTTTATAGCAAAAAGTTATAATCTATTTTTTCATAACCTTAAATAACTAAAAAAATTAGTGACAACATTACAACGGTGGTTCAAAAAAAAATGCATCCAAAAAAAAATATTTTCTGCGTTGTGGTCAATTGCTGGAATATTTCATCTTTCTTTTTTACCCAGAGGTGAAACCATCAAACCGACATTGTATCGTAGTGATAATGGCATAATTGTTAATCCAAAGGGGCCTATACTCTCACACGTAAACAGTTTCACGACAGATAGTGAAAAAAAAACTAAACGAACTGTGCTACGTAGTCCTTCCACATCCGCCTTATTCGCCAGACTTATCTCCGACCGATTTGCATCTGTTCAGAAATTCGGACATCTTCCTGAAAGACAAAATTTGTAAAAATGATTCTTAGGTAAAAAAAAAAATGAGACGTTGGGGAAAACGTATAGAAAATGAAAGTGAATATTTTAATTTCATAAAATTGTTTTACTAAAGTAATTTTTACCGTGAAAACTTAATTTTCATATGAAATGACCCAATATGATATGTGGAAAAATTATATGTTTTTTGTTTGTTCAATATTTTCATTAATTCTTTCTTCACCAAGAGTTTAAGTTTTCAAAAAGTGGGTACAAGAAAACGGAAATTGTTTCACATTTTCACCATATTTTCTAGCTGAATCATGGTATCGGTTCTAAGTTGACTTGGAGCTTGTGGTTGCATTCAAGGTCTTCCCAGTTACATAATCAACTCCTCTCAGTCAGTGATAACTATTTCACAATGTATTAAATGCATCCTGTTTAAAAAAAAAAAAAAAAAAATGGTCTAAAGTAAGTGTTTTAACTAGAAAATAATTCAAGGTTTTTCTTTATTAAGTACCAATTAATGTAATGCTACTAATGCAAATGAAGGAATAGGTTGTTAAAAACAATTAAGTAGTAAAACATAAATTCATTTTTTTTTCAAATCAGTTTTCTGTGATGAAGTTATGAGGAGAGGGAGGGAGTCATAGGTATTTCCATTGGATTTCTAACAAATTATATATTTCCAAATTAATTTATTGTATAATTCTATTCAAAAGTACATTTTATAAAATACAAAACCTCAACTTCAGCAGAAGAATGATCTCAATGCAGTAAAAAAAAGTATTTCCATGTATATATATATATATATATATATATATATATATATATATATATATATTATATATATATATATATATAAATATATAAATATAGGGTGTTTCATCGTTGAGTGGCCAAACTGCAAGAGTGAACTAAAGACTTCAAAACAAGAAAACAATTTCCTCTGAAGGTATGTTCGCAAACGCTTTGTTTAGATGGATTAGATAGAATACTAATATGGCCTTTTATCCCTAACTGTATAAAAACTATTGCCAACATAAGGATTAATACTATTTGGAATTAGCATTGGGAACTCTCAATAACATTTATCAGTTTGTTAGAGACTTTCGCAGAGTACTGATCATTATGCCTTCCATTTATACTAATGGTGAATATACCTATATTGTTTTTGTATACGGTTTTTGCTATGGTAGTGCTAATGCTGCCCGTCGTGAATATGCCAGGGGATTTCCGAATAGAAGATTATCAAACAAGTCTATCTTTAGCTCCACGTTTCAACGTCTTAGAGAAACTGGTACAGTTGCTGTAATACCATGTGTTGGTGGTATTTTTGCCCATTTACGAAATGAAGAAAGGAGTGCAACCATATTACAATATTTCGATGATAATTCATCTGCCAGTGAACGAAGAGCTGGAGCAGGATTAAATATTACGCCAACTACATTATGGAGAACTATAATTGCAGATGGACTTCACCGATATCATTACCAACGAGTACAGCATTTATTTTTGTATTTTCGATTAGATTTTCGGCAAAGAAGTTTTTTTTTCAGATTGGTACTTAAATCAAGTTAAGAATTATTCACAATATTCAGGAAAAATTCTCTGAACTTATGGAATTTATGGTTGAGGACAATAGATAATATTTTAATAGGTCTGCATTTCTTGCCGCCTCTACTCAATAAGGGCACATTTCTGGAATTTCTTAATAATGATTACTACGATTTAGTTAAACATATTCCACTACAACTGAGAAACGAAATGTGGCTTAAATAAGATGTTTGTCCTGCACATTACGGAAGAGGTCCACGACAATGGCTAAATGTTAATTATCCCAATCAATGGATTGGCCGTGCAGGACCAGTGGCTTGGCCTGCACGCTCTCCAGACCTGACACCATTGGATTTTTTGGTTTAGGTGACATTAAACAAAAAGTCTATGCAAGTCCGGTTAATGACCTTAATTTCTTACGAAGAAGGATAATTGAATCTTGTGAAACAATAACAAATATCCAGTGCCGTTCTGCCACTGCAGCTGTTGAAGAATGATACTGAGCCTGTCTTAATGCTCAAGGAAATCACTTTGAACGTTTTGAAAATCAATTTAATATGAACGTAAACATTAAACGTTTAATTAATAAAGTAGTTGGAATAAATAAATAAGTTTTATTTACTTAATATAAGGTAAATAATTCATAACAATGAAAATCTTTAGGTGTGAATATCTCCTAAACACAGGACAAAAACAAGGACAATTTTTAATTTTTCAAATTTCATTAATTTTCTTTCTAAACTGCTGAGAAAACAACTGAACTCACCTCTCAAATTCCATAGAGAATTATTTAATAGTTTTAAAGATTAAGAGGGTCTTAAAAAAATAAGACAACGACAAGGATTGAACGAAATGTTTTCTTTCATTTTTTTAAATTAAAATTTCCATCGATGACATGTTTAATTGACTATTTAAAAAAAAAATGTTCACAGATTCACAGACAATTTAGCTTATTTAAGTATATTTAAGGTGTTATTTCAGAAATCTGTAATAATAAAATTTAAAAATATTAATTTAATTAATTCATCTTTGAATATTAATGATCAAGCATATTTTTGTGATAAACCTAAGTTTTAGTACACTTTGAAGTTTTCGTATAACCTTTTTAAATAATTGAAAAAGTTAAAAATGTTACACTAGCATTAATCTCTGATGCTTAAAGTTTGACTTGGACCTTTAAGTTTTCAAATAAGTTTTCCACCTGAAAAATTTGACTATTAAAGTTACGAAAAAGTTTTGAATGCTCCCTCCCAAACCCCTTGCTTCTACATAGATTGATTATTATTTTATGCTATTAACTCTCTTTATTATTCTGTAAAAAAATGAACTTAATTCTATATAGTCCGTGGTACAGACCCATTTTTATCAAATTATTAACCTCCACCTGAAACTTCGTAAATAGCTTCATCTCATCGTAACCTACAATTATTTTATTTACGAAAACTCTTTGAATTGTGGCGTTTTCAATGTGGAGGAGGGCAAATTTAATTAGGTACCAAAAACTCGTAAATACCTATTAGCTTTCCACTTGGATCGTGAGATAATTAATCATAAAATCAATAAAAAATGTCGCCTACAAAAATGTCAGGCCGATTGGCCTATATAACCTCGTGATTTTGATAATTCTGGGGTATAGGTCACGCTCGATATTTTTTAATCCTTTTTTCTCGATTTTGTGCTCAAATTATCTTGCTATTCAAGTGGAAAGCAAATGGGTATTTACGAGTTTTCCGTACCTAATTAAATAGACAATCTCCAGATTGAAAATGCTCGTGACTAATATTCACTATCAACATTAATCAATAGCAAACCTTTTTCCTTAATTATCATCACAAACAGGTTCAAAGTTACCAAAGGGACACATACTATGATAAGGTGGAAGACGATATTTCATAATGACCGTGCGAAAGATTTTACGTTTCATGAAAAACAACCCTTAAGGAAATTGAGTTTGATCAATGATTTTAATCATTAATTGTATTAATATATGTTTAATATGATATCGTATCTTCTTAGTTTAGAAGTTTCTTTGTTTTGTCTCTTTTTTTTTCCTTTGAACTTCCTTTGAAATTGCTTCATTTTTATTTTTTTAAGTTTTGTTCTTTGTTCATAATTGTTATTCTTAAGGTACCATGTCAATCTATCTGTAATAAAAAAAAAAATTAGAAATTTTCGTATAGGACGAAGGGAATGACGATTTTTTAAATTTATTTCGTTATTATTAATGATTTTTTCACCCTTTTTTTGTTTCTTTTTGCTCCTCTTATTCGCCTTCTGCGAGGGAATTATGCCAGTTGAATATCTCCTCAGCACCGGAATCGGTTCTCGTAATCTTCATTTATCAGGTTGGCCAACGCTTGGCATCCCGATGATATCTGCTTCTTTTTTAAATAGGTGACATCGTTCTCTTATATCTTATCCGCATATTTATTTTCTATAGACATTGGTGCGAAGTACGGGTCCTTGCCGAAATTCTTCAGTTTCGGGAAATAGGCATCGATTTTTAAGACCGTTGATATAGGCATCTTAGTTCACGATTCTTAAGTATAATAAGTAATTACTATATTTTCGTGTACATTTTTTTACGATTTTAAAATTGGACTCTCGGCTGCCCAAGTTGTTAGAAGTATTAATTACCACGGCGTTTGAGAATGTTGTTACGAACGGATCATTCGCCGGTGGTTTGAAAACAAATTATTAGTTTCTGTGTGTTGGAATAATAATTCATCTCTCCTTTTTACCCAGAGAACCCATCATGTCCAGCGAAGTGAAACTATCATGTCCACAGCGCATTGCAGTGATATTGACATAATGCACATAAAACTTAACATAACTTGACATAATGTAAAAAAAACACCTTTATTGGTTAGTCGGAATATATCTATATTCTTACACGACAATGCAAGACCTAACGTTAGATAGACAATAAAGAAACTAAACTAGCTGTCCTTCCATACCCACCTTATTCGTCAGATTTATCTCCAACAGATTTTCCATCGGTTCAGAAATTTGAGGAAGGTAAAATTTTTGAAAATGATTATCCGGTCATTAGCGCATTTTCTGACTTCATTTTTTTACCATATCCTGAGTTCTGGGGTTGGAAAGTTGATAACACGTTGGGAAAAATGTACAGCAAATGAAGATAATTATTTTGAATAAAAAATATTGATTTCATAAAGTTGTTTTTGTGTAAATAACCTTTCACGTGAAAACGGACATTTCATATGAATTGACCTAAGTAATTTTAGTAATTGATCTTTTTGTTTTTCACAAAAAAATAGGAATATGATTGATAATCATGCTCTCGTCATATGCACGAAACAGAAAATAATAACCACTCTGTTATGATTATTATACTCCAGCACCATTCGTGCTTAGCTTATTTATTTGTTATTTTATTATTTATTTTTGAAATGAAAACTTCTCTAGGCGGGTTTTGCAATTTTTTGTGGAGAGTGGATTAGATTGATCCGTCAGATTTCTGAAGTGTTAATGCTCAGGTAAAGTCGGCTAATTGAAATGTTTTTACAGATGGATTAAAATATCTCAAAAAATATAGATAGAACCTGCATACTGTAAGCAAGAGAATTGTTCGCCATTTCATCTTTTCTGTAATAATGGCTATTATTCAAAATTGTATCTTAAAGCGACGCCGTGTAAGAGAGGCCAAAAGGAAAAAAATAGTGACGAAAACGAGTTTTATTTAAGATATGGATTAAAATATTTCAGAAACTAAAAATCGGACCTGCATACTGCAAGCATGGGAATTGTTTGGCATTTCATGGTTTCTGTAATGGGCTATTATTTGTAATTTATATTTCATGTTATTAATCTCGCCTTCTTGACGTTTACACTTCTATCGCGTGGTCTAAAGTATACACCTTAGTTTTTTTGTTTTGTTTTAAATTATAGTATATATATGTAATTATCAGTATATGAAGATGGTGGGGTGATATACTGATATACCCTTGGTGAATTATTCCGTATGCTTAAAGTAAGATCAAAAACTGAATTAAGCCTCTCTATAACGGACTGCACTGCACCCCCCTCACGGGGTGGTTGGATGGCGGATAGGATTGTACCGTGAATGGAGGGCAGATCGGTGACCTTGGCCCGGTTCCCGTTACATAGCTGCCGTGCCTCCGCGCTCCCTTCTCCGTCCCCGAGTCATCCTCTTCTCCAGCAGTCTTCTGGGATATCTGGTCTCAAAGTTCTCTTCGGGGTATAGGCAATGGCGATGGGCAGGGTATTCATTGAAAAATATTACAATCTGTCTCAAAGGACATTTATAATAATGTTCAGAGATCACATTCACACTCTATGTACAATAAATAAAATAAATTATGCAGAAAAATAATGTATATACAATAAATAAGAATAAAATAACCTAAAAATAAATAAATAAAATTCACACCTATATACACTATTTACAATCAGGTCAGAGAAATTTGAGCCAGACTTTTCCTTCCAACTGTGGAGGGAAAAGCATGATTCCAGGAGATTGAGAAAGAGTGCTTTAGCCACATACACTCATGTCGTGAGTGGAGAATCTGGCCATTGCCAGAAGAACTCCAATATTTACAAACTATAAAAGGCCGCGGGGCCACTGCCGTTTTAACCTTCTTGGAGAATTATAGGAATGGGTGGTGCTGGATAGGGACTGTACAAAGGGATTTGGATGATGGGTAAGGGTCTGGTGAAATTTGGAAAATTTTGCTGGGATAAGGTCTAGGACAAATGGGATATTAAGGTCATGGTGTAGGGTTTGGTTGGTTACATAGAAAGGAGCATCGACTATTGTACGAAGGACTTTAGATTGGAAGGATTGAATGCGTTTGATGTTATAAAATTTTGCTGTTCTCCACAGTTCAAGTCCGTAAGTCCAAGTAAATTTCATTATTGTCTTGTAGATAAGTATTTTATTTTCAATTGAGAGTTACGATTTTCTATTTAGTAGTATGTATAGTTGGCCGTATCGTCGGTTAAGTTCCGGACTGGGTATTAGTGTTCAAAATGAAATTATACTGTTCAACATGTTTAAAATTGTATAAGCAAATAAGCAAAGAATATAATAAAACTTTGTAGAAGATAGATTAAAAAAAAAAAAAACTACAAAAATACCCCTACTCATACTAAGGAATACACTTATATTTATTGAAAAACTTTGTTGATTGTTTGAGAAGTTTATATCTAAGAATATTTAAACCTGGCATATTGGTTGGAAGCCATCCATCAGCGAAAATAGAGTCGCTTTCGGATGTTGAAATGCAGCGGTGCCATGCGGCGAAATCTACTTGCCTGGTGGCTTAATGTATTGTGGAAAGTGCCTGTCTGTTACTCCAATTTTAAATATCCTTAAACGTATATCCTTCTTTATTGTTTCACTGTAGTAGTGTAAATAGTTAAAGCATAAATTAAATAACCGAAAATAAAGTTATTTTTCTTCAGTATTTTATGAGGAACATTTAATAATTCTACATAATCGATTATAGCTATAGGTATTTCTTTGAGCAACTATCTAACCTTTTGAAAATTAATGTTATGTTACCTTTCAATAAAAAAATTAAAATTATGAGAAAAATATATGTTTTCAAATTCATTGGACTGCATCGCCCTGTATATTGCTTAGTAGTAACATCTAATTTTTTTTTTTAACAGATATAGTAGTATAACTTGCGCTGGTGTTTTGCTCCTAAAACATCAAAACAACTAATCAACCAGACCATTTAGGACCCGGAGCGGATTAATTTTTGAGGCGATAAACCTCCTTCCCATCCCTTGTAGGAAGCACACTTAATAAATTGTGGGATCCCCTACAAGGGTGCGAAATGCTAAATGTAATTCTCATCATTCTTATGTGAAAATATGTTGTAGTATATATTAGTAGTATAGATGTTTGTTATTTTAATTATTAATATGTTTTTATTTTTATATTTTTTTCAGAAACTTGGCGATTGGAATAGGAATACAAAATTTCCCCGAGGGCCTAGCGGTTAGCCTTCCATTGAAAGCCGCAGGCTTCTCCACCATGACTGCCTTCTGGTGAGTTGTAATGTAATGTAATGTAATTATATTCATCATAAGCATAGATGTCGGGGGGGGGGGTGAAGGGGTTGATCCTCCCCCCAATATAAATGATGAAGGGGCGAATATATCGTTCGCTCCCTCAATAATTTGAAGTAAATATAAGTTAAATCAATAATAAATAAGCTTCATAATTGAATAAAATGTGTAAACTAAAAAAGATGAAGAAAAGTTGAATATCTGGCTAGTAGTCGGTATATAATTATTTTATTGATACCTAAATGTTACTTTTAATTAAATTGTCATTTGTATTCAAAGATAATAATATATATTAATACATTTTCGAATGTCATGGTCCAATCACCCCTCAATTTCTCATGATATTCTTATCACATTTTCCGCGACAAACTAGTCGGACCGTGAAAAACGTATTTTTATTTGAGATTGCACACTCTAAGAAATCTTATATATTTTTCACTTTTTTACACTATGCAAATTTCTTTTCTTCAATTTTTTGAAAAATTAGGTCGGTATTTAGGTGTATTTTGCTCCTTATGCTATTCTAGCTTTATTTTCGAAATGGAATACATATTATTTAAGTATTTCTTCATTTTATTCTTAATGATCCATCAGCAGAATCCATCTCTGGTCCCAGATTTTATTGGTTCCATAGATTTAGATATTCTATAATGATATTCCCATAAGTTGCTGTATGATGATGTCTCTAGTTTTCAACTTGCGCCATGGATCGTAGAGAAGTTTAAGTATTTAGGGTCTATAATAATCAGAAAAAATGAAATTGAAGAGGAAGTTAAGGCTAGGTTGAAGGCGGGAAATGCTGATTTGTCAGTTTCGAAACTACTTAGTTCGCGGCTGTTGTCCCGAAAGTTAAAAATTAAAATTTACTAAACCATTATTCTTCTGACGGTTCTTTTTGGATGCGAAACTTGGCCACTTACATTAAAGTATGAGCAACGTCCTAAGGTTATTGAAAATAAAATATTTGGACCGAAGAAGAATATGTCAACCGGAGAATTTAGACGATTAAACAACGCTGAATTGCATGAACTATACTCGGTTAATGTAGTTGAGATTATATCGCTGAGGCGAATAAAATGGGCGTGTAAAATTGCTAGGCTTAGTACGAAAAAAATCCAAAAAGGTTAATATGCGCTGTGCCGACTGGCACTAACAGATCCAGGATTTAATTTTGGGGGGGGGGGGGGCTTCAGTCCGAAAGCTTCTCTTTTTTCATAAAAATAACGATCTATCAAGAAACTAACTATCTATATGAAATGGTGTTTAAGTGTTTCCTAAAGTCCTTTTAAATGTAATTACACGAACAATAATATTTTAAGAGATAATTTTTAATATTTTTTCCCATAAAACATGGTTATATTTTACAATTTTTGGGTACTTCAGCCCGAAAGCCTTCCCCATAGATCCGACTGGTAATTGTCCGAAGAGTAGACCAAAGTGAAGGTGGGAAGATTGCATTACGGCTGATTTGACGGGGTGGGGTTTGGAAGGCGCTCTGTGGATGGAAGAATGTAGACATGGATTTGTCGTATTTTTTTTTTTTTTTTTAGTTTCAGAAAATGTATTGATAGCACATGACTATTTATTTAACTTCTCTTCTTAATAAGACTATTCAGTGATCTCTTTATGTTAGAACATAACCTAGATTGCTCTCAGCCTGATACAGGTACAGCCTATTTCAGGTCCTCAGGTTCTTAGCTTATTGATGAGGTTGGTTTTCGGTGTAGTAATTTTATACGCATGTGATACGCAGCTACTACTATACTTTATATTTGTTATAACCATCCTATGTAATTTCGGATTCCTACATCATCTTATTTATAATCACCTGTCTTATGAGCTTTGGTTGAGTAGTCTTTGATTTAATTTTCTCTAAGTGACATGTTTGGTAATTACTTCTTCTCAAACTCATTTAACTTTTAATCTTCAATGGTTGTCAGCCATGGTTAAGTTATTATACACTTGTTTTACTTGCGTTAATCCTGTGGGAACCTCCCTGCACAACCGTTGGCTTTTTAACAGTCCTGTGAAGTTTTCTGTTTTAGCTGTAAATGTGCATTTAATTCCAGTTAATTCCAGCGGTACATTCTATGTTCCTTGACCATTCCATGTCATTCTTGGTGTTTAAATCACTCGCATCTTCTTGATGGATACTCGCAAATGAGAAAAACTTCTTCTCCGAACTGCCATGTTCAGCTACCGTCGAAGTAGATTACTTTATTCGTACAGGATTAATATTGCTCCAATGACGTCAAGTGTTTTTATTGCTATATGAGGCCCACCAGTTGCAATCGAAGGCGGTTTAAAAGGTCTGGTAGTGATAGAGTGAGGTCCTTCCGATGATTTCATGAAAGCATTAACTGAAGGTGTTCGGTATTTTTCATTGTCCTCGTGTTATTTCCCGTCATACAATATGTCTCAAAAATTCAATCCTGGATCGCTTCTTTTGGAAGTATAAAGATAACTGTCATCTCTAATCTGTTCTCTTTTTTTTTTTTTTTTTACGGTGTTAAGTTGGTTAGATATATTATATACATTGTATTTACTATTCTGATTCTTAAACGAACTTTAGGGAGCGGTTTTCTCAGTATGTGAGCACTGACTTCCAGAGGTCAACGTTCCAGGTTTGAGTCCGGCTGATGACTAGTAATTTTTCATCAGCCTTGGGTCGACCCTGGGGTCTGGAGATCCTCCTGGGGAAAATCCAACCTCTATAAAGTGAGTACGGAGCTATCCTGGGATTAGAGTACTAACACATGGATAAAAAAGACCAATGAGAAACTGCTTACAGAAACTGGTCAATAAATATCCCATGATATGAAGGCACGGAGGTTAAGATGGGCAGGGCATGTAGCTCGTAGCAATGTGGAATCCTCTATCTGGAAGCCTCTACGTAACAATTAATGCCACAATAGATGGCAAAAAAACACGTAGAAGGCCAAAAAGCAGATGGATAGATAGAATCAATAAAGGTGCAACAGAGCTGCGTGCAGATAAATGGAAAGAAATAGCCCACGACAAGAAGAGATGAAGCAGGCTTGTTAAGGCTGCGAAAGATCTACATGGTCTGTAATGCCATGATAGCCATTATATATTACATATAATATTTCTCTAATGAAATATTTTGTCTAATGAAAAGCAGTTTGTAGGTGGGATAGCTTAACACTTAATGATCCCCTCTCCATCATCGATCATCGATGCCCTGTACCCTGTACGACCGCTATTCTCTGCAGAAGTCCATAGACCGCCCGATGGACTCATTAAGCTCAATAAGCCAGACTACGGAAGGTGTAACCAATTATAAATATAAGAAGGAGAGGATATATTAGTAAGCTAAGCAGCTCGAGGTAACCATAGCCTTACCTTAATTAGTGCCCAGGTAACGACCCGTCATTAAGGATATAATGAAATAATTGCCTCTCTCTTGGCGCCTCTTCTATCCACCACTTTCTGTCTCACTTTGATACTATGCTTATCCGAATTGGCTAGTTGTACTATTGTATATTACAATAGTTCCGTCAATTCTTTGTGAAAGGGGTTGGAGCAGTTATTTCCGTGAGGAATTAGTGTGTAAACGTTTCGTTAAATTCAAACTCTACTTATTATTTTGCTGTTTAATTCATTCTTATTTCTTTTTCATAGTGCCACTCTATCATTGTTACTGGTGTCCTTGGATATGAACGAATGTAATATATCTCGATAAAGAATTGAATTGCAATTTAAACTCTAAACACCGATGTCTCAAAATCAATCACGAGATTTTCTCAAAGCTGAATTTTATAGAAAGCAGTTTTAACTGATGATCTGATCCACCACTAGACCACATTTTCCATTTTGGGATGTCCAAAACGTGTTCTTCAAAATATATTTTTTTCTGTTGTCATTTCAGACATTGTAGATCGTTTGCCGCTTTCACATGCCTATATTATATCTCAGCCTTTTTTGGCCTATGTCTTTCCAGTTTTCTCCATGCAGCTCTATTGCATCTTTGTTGATTCTATCAATCCATCTGCTTTTTGCCCTTCCACGTGGTATTTTGCCTACTATTGAGGCATTCATTGTCTTATAGAGGCTTCCTGATTTATTGCTCCAAGTTACATGCCCAAGCCATCTTAACTTCCATGTCTTCATATCGTTAGATACGGATTGACCAGTTTCTATAATCAGTTCTTTGTTGGTCTTTCTCCTCCATTTGTTAGTTTTTAGTATTAAGGGCTTGTTTTCAGTTACCCAGGTGAAACATGGTAGTTGAGGTAAGTGCAGATCTCTTATAGGACAAGTGCGTGCGATTTATTATGTTTTTAGGGTATATTATAATTATTATGTTTTGCCAAAGCAACTGCGGATTTAAATAAAGTCCTTTTTTTCCCCACTAGATTAATTAAATTATATTCCGCATCCCTCTTTCACAACTTTCACTGAATAGTGTGGAGTGTGAATTTCTGAAACTTTTTTACTTAGTACGCGTGTTTGAACAATCAAGTTCAAAAACGAAAAGTATAAGAAATGTAAAATAAAATTTTTAAAGGAAGCATGTCCCTGTTAAAGTAACTTTTTCGCTATAGTACTTATCCAAAGGTGCCACTGTGTTTCAGTATGTGTAAGCTGTCTGGCTTTAAAAGTACAAGGCTTAGAAAAGTGAAATGATATATTTAAGATAGGTTGAACCTGAGATGTTAAACTACTTTTTTCTATTTTTCCGAATAAGGCCCTAATTTTCATTCAACTCCTTATAGCAATATACGATCAAATGGAATTCTAGTATCCCGATAGTAATCCTCATTGCAATAGTTTTACAGAGATGCAGTGCCGAATTTCCAAATAATCAACAGACAGGATCTTATGTTTAGTAATAATAGGAAATGGATAAATATAAACTATGAAATAATGTTACAATTAACAAAAGAAGAATCGTTTTTCCAGGTTGAAAACAAATGTCTGGAGAAAAGAGTAGTACCAAATATTTATAATACATCAGTGTTAGGCTAAAGATTTCAGAAATATTAATATCTAATATATAAAGTTGTAGAAGGTGACGATGATTAATGAAAAAAAAAATATATGAATTTAGACAAAAGACTAGCATGGGACCCCCATAACAGACTAGACCTTAACCGGCGATTTAGTCAGTTTTATAGACTACTTAACAGAAACTGTAATTTGTTAATTGAAAACAAATTATTAATACTGAAGAACATGCAAGAACATTCGGACTTAATCTCTGGAGGACAGCTAAATTTTAAAACATCAAGCACATCCAATCTAAAGTCTATCGTGCAATAGTCAATGCACCTAATTATATTACAAACGAAACTTTACATCATAACCTTAACATCCCTTATGTCCTTGACGTTATTCCATTCCGAGTCTGAAATGTTCATCACAATCTTATGCATAATTCCTCAGCACAATACATCCAGTATCCCTACAATCCTCTTCGGCGGTTGAGACACCAGTTTCCCCGAGATCTTTTGTAAATATGTCATTGGAATTCTGGCAATAGCCAGCTTCTCTACTCAAGTCATGTGGCTCTAGTGTCTCTCAGTCTCTACTGGACTCACATACCGGTGACGCGGCTGAGAGGGAAGAGCTTGGATCTCCTCGCCCTTCACTAACAATATTTTAATTAAGTTTGAATGTGTTTTTTATATGTTACGTAATTTTATTTCACGTTTCATTTTTTAAGTTTTTTCTTTATTATTTTGTTTCTGTTTTGTTCTTTAGTAGTATTGTACATTTGGTGTTAATGTACCTCTTGTAGCTCTAATACTCAGTGCCCTTAAGTGTGGCAAAATGTATTATTTCTTAATAAAAAGATTCTTTAAAACAATATGCATACATTCTGAAAATGAATATTATTTTACAAACCTACATGTCTCCATTTAAATTAAATGCAATTTGCAAACTAAATGTCCTTTGTGTCCGGACAGGTACGGCCAGCTGTCGGGGATGGTGGAGCCTATCTTCGGGCTGATCGGGGCCCTACTGGTGACCGCGGCGGAGCCCCTCCTTCCGTACGCCTTGGCCTTCGCCGCGGGGGCCATGATATACGTCGTAGTCGACGACATCATCCCGGAGGCCAACACCAAGTGAGTAGATAGCCTTTGAGGCAGAAATTATTGAGCATTCCAAATATACCTTTTACTATTACATATAATCTTTCAGGTACTTGATATTTAGTTTCAGGGATTTTGTTTTGTAAATAGATTACAAATACTAGATAAAAAAAGATAATGCGAGACCTGGTCACTAAGCAGCACCCCACAAAGAAGTATTCAAATATTTGAGAGAAAAATCCATCGTACGATAACCGGAGCGATCTAGGATCGTCGTACTAACTTAGAAGAGAAAGACCAATAAAGAGATGCTTACAAAAACTGGTCGATCAATATTTCATAATATGGAGGCAAGGAGATAAAAGTGGGCGGGCATGCAGCTCGGATCAATCCATCTACACAACAATGAATGCCTCAATATTAGGCAAAAGACCATGTGAAAGATTAAAAATCAGATGGATAGATATGATCGACAAAGATGCGCTAAAGCTGCATGCAGATAACTGGAAAGGAATAGCCTAACAGAGGCAGAGATGAAGAAGGCTGGTTAAGGTGGCAAAAGATCTAAAAGATAATTTCGCTTACTTATGCAAAACCGACGTACGAACTTGATCGATACTCGTACCTCCTACTATACGTTGAAATCTCGTACGAATATGAGGATCTTTGTATGAATGGTAGAACTGTTTGTTATTGCTATTCGCCATTTATATTTTATTTTTTATTATGATGTCAACATAATTGACATTCACAAAAAATCAATTGTATACATCTATAACTATATCAATAGGAAATTACTAAACCCCCAAATGATCCCACTCCTATCCTGTCTGTATTCCACAATTTTCTCTTTTCTAACCTTCCTGTATCCCCCTAAAGGAATCTTATTAAGGTTTTCTAATCCATCAGTCACTTTCTTGATTTGTAGCCTCTTTCATTCAACCAAATTATTAAGAGAGATCCTACTTCCTTGCTTTAAAATAATCAATGTGTAGTTTTTTGTAGTTTCTAAGAGCTATAATTGGAAGCATGGTAATGAACTGCAGGAAGTTAGTATGTTAATAGATACGGACGCTTATAACAAGATGGAAAAGAGTACGAAAAAGGAGACAATGGTTTGAGGTATTATTATTACCAACAGGTCGAGTATATTTTAAGATAGGATGAGAAAGGTGACGTGGAGCTCCACGTAGCAGGGGACACGGTACGGATGTCCTATTGTTACTGGAGCTTCCTCGCCTGCTTTGAGGAAGTCGATATATCGCTACGCATCACAATCGATGTGGAAGCCGCTAAGCACCACTTCCTGACGGAAATACCCTCCCTCCCCCCTCTTGTCCCCGTCTCATCCTTCTGCTCTAGCCGTATCCACTTCACAGCCGAAAAGTCACTATACCTCATTAATAATATTGTAATGTATGCAGGCAGTTGAACGGACTCGAGTTGAGCAGAAGGGTGTAGGATCCATGTATGTTGAATTAAATATCGTGGATCTCTTAACACGATACAGCATCATCGTCTCGAAACCTATATGAAATTGCACGGATGGAGGACGAGGTGGCCGAGTGGGCTAACGTGTGTACAAAATACGTGTCGTCCGACAACATAATAAACCGAACATTATGAGTCCAAATCACAGTGTCGGTGGTTTTTAATTCTGGTATTAATCCTCCGCCCACTGCCCGAGGCTGAGTAAAAACCGCATATATCTGAAATAGCAAAGGATGGGGGAAAAAATGTGTACGCCTTCGTATGTAATTATTGGCAACTACTCTTACGAGTAGTTTATAATAATATCTTCGTTTTACTTGTCCACATGATATTTCATAAAATAAAATGGTGATTTATAGGTATTTCTCTATCAAATGGCTATCAGGCTCTAAACAACTTTATCAGGATAATCGCAGCTCTTAGAACGCACTACAAATTGGTTTATGATAATTATTTTCGTTGGAATAATTCTTTGTTTTATATTTGGAAAAAATATACTATGGAAGGGTAAAAAACAACCTAGATTTTGAATTGAATGCAGACAACTTGAAAGAAATGATCCTCCAATTATACAATTTTAGCCAATCTGGGTCCTTCTTCAATGGCGCCATTTTGAAACTTTCTCACTTTGTGTTGTCAGATCAGTGGAATTCAAAAGTTGAGGGTGTATATTATGAATGTGTAGCACTATAATATATCTTCAAATAAAGATGAAAAATAATTAGAATATATTGTCAATGTTAATTAAATTTGCCGACGTTTCAACCTATACATCAGAAAAATGATTAATACGAAAATATGGAAAGAAAAACAGATGAAACATAACCACGAGATACCGACAGTATAATATAACTATAATAAAAAAATATAATATGTTATGAAAATTTTTTTGTTTTATAAAGAAATAAAAAAGATAATCATGCAAAAACCAAAACTAAATTAACCAAATAATTGTTGAAATAAAATAAATAAGAAGAAATATGAACAAAAATATAGAAAGAAGAAAATAATCTTCAAATAAATCACTAAATTTCTACTCGGCTTTTTTTTCAGTGAGTATCTGAGTCAGTGAGTATAAAAGGCGAATAAAAATCTGAAATCTGTTCATGGAGCTTCAAATTGGTGGGGAACCACTCCTTTCTTGAGCCGTAAATCCAAACTAGATCCTTTGACATAAAAAGTCTAGAAGTGTGATATAAAGCGACTGATCGTTTAGAAATATATGCACTTAAACTTTTATTGGAAACAAAACACACATGCTTAGATCATACCTAACTTTCACACGTTTAAGAATGAACGCCTTATTGTTTTTATTTTAATAAGTTTGGATATGAATGTGCTAATTACTAGTTTAATCTAAGGTTTCTTCTCTTTCTTTAGCAATCGTTCAATAATGTATTGTAAAGGTCCTCCAGAATCATATGACATAATGGTAGTTTAAATGAGGAAGTTCTCACTGCAAGGATCTATTGTGATTGTATGTGAAAATTAAATGTTGAAAGCACTGCGGCTCCCCAGAGCAGAAAAAAATGTTCTTTCTGTTAGTTACCTGAGCTATACAGTCCTTCAAGAACCATTTAAGAATCATTGTAAACGTAAAGGATAATATTCATAATTGGTAAATGGTTGACTATCGTGAATAATGAAGAGAAGATTAGTTGGGGTGGTCAGTCAAAAAAGAAGGCAAAAATAAATGATAATATTTATTTTTACATATGCCGACGTTTCGACCTGAAGTTCAGGCCATCATCAGGACTGACTGCTCTAAGGTAAAAGATGCAATGGATTCTTCTCTTCATTTGTAAAGGATAATAATATGTTTACATAGTTACTGAGAACATGACGAATTTCGTAGTGAAAAGTGTTGTTGTTTTTTTTCCAAATTTCTTTATAAATTTATTGTTGTTACACTCATGTATTAAACAGTGTTAAAATAATTTATTATAAATTAATATCAATGATTGTACCCCAGGTTATCACAAATGGAGGTTTAGTTTTAACTTATCATAGCTAATAATACTTTAGCGCTAGCGGTCGTTCACTCATGATTCATGCTAACTGTTTAGCACCACATATTGTTGCTAATCATTTATCACAAGTTACGTGAAAACTCTTATTCGGGATATATGAATTTGATATAATCATTGTTTTGAATTTTCGCCTGTTCGATTTTTTTCTCTGGTGTTTTGTGACATCAGTTAATTTCAGAAGACTTCTTTGGCCTGGTTCAATTAATTTTTATGCATACGGAATTACATTTTCCTCTGGAACGGTGAAGATGTACCCCCTGGAACTGGAGGCGAAGAGCGCCGTCCTTGGAAGGAAATTGGGAAATGCGGTTGCCGACTTGAAAAGCGGCGGCGGTGCGGAATGCAGCCGGGAAGGAGGCCATTGATCTCGCCCCCCGCGGCCTCCGCTCTCCTCCGGTCTTATTAGGCCATCTTGTCTGAGGCTGTCTGCGTCTGTCTGTCTGAGGCTATCCGCCTGTCTGTCTGGATCGATCCTGTCTTAGAAGGGTTTAGCTTATAGGATAAATAATAAAATAAAGTAATAATAATAATTAATGAGTCACAGATGGTTGACCATGATATAATATGAGAAGGAGCTGATCCGGGGGTGCGGTCAAATAAATACTAAATTATACAAGTAGTATTATTTAAATTTTTTGCCGACGTTTCGATCCACTTTGCATGTCTTCATCAGAGCTGCAAAAGATACAAAACGTGGCGAAAATCAAATAAATGAATATTAGTAGATATAAAATAATATAGTTAAAATATCAAGGATTATATATATATATAGAAGATACAAATAAAAATGGAAAATAAGTATGAATAAAAATAGAAAACAAAGTTGTTATCCTCTGATATCTTATTATTGTGTTATCTTATTCTTATTTTACCTTTACTATATCAATACTCATTCAATTTTCAATCTCTTTATTCGTTAACATTCATTTTCTTTATCTGTTAACCTACAATTATCAAATGTAATCTTTATTAGTTTGTTACACACTCATTCCTTATCTTTTATCACAATCTGTTTACTTTTAACTTACATGCTCTATTCTCCTTTGTTTTCTATTTTCAATCATACTTATTTTCCATTTTTGTTTGTATCTTCCATATATATAATACTTGATATTTTAACTACATTATTTTATATCTACTTATATTCATTTATTTTATTTGCACCATATTTTGTATCTTTTGTGGCCCTGATGAAGACCTGCAAAATGGGCCGAAACGTGCGCAAAAAAATTAAATAATACTATTTGTATAATTTAGTATTTATTTGGCCGCACCTCCGGATCAACTCCTTCTCAAATAATAATTATTATAATAACATAGCATCCGTGTTTCCCATCTCCTCCATCACTTACTTGCACACTACAGTAATATTTAATTTTCGTATTATTTGTTTTTTTTTAACCTGATTTACATTTTGAAATATCTTTAGCTTTTTGCAGAAAATCACCAACAAGGGTAGATTACAGTCATTGGGTCACCGATTTCAAACACATCTTTTTCTATGATACTATT